AAGTCAAACGAATCCTCGTGGACAACGGGAGTACCGCGAATATTACCACCATGAAAACATTGGAAGAACTGGGGGCCAAGGAGGAAGATATAACAGGTTCCGGGTCAAGCTTAGTCGGATTCAATGGGGAACCAAGCAGAACCAAAGGTAATATTTCTTTACCTGTATATACCCATGGTCTAAACATGCAGGTCAAATTCGACGTGGTCGAAAGCATACCAGCGTACAACATGATCCTGGGAACTCCTTGGTTGCATCAAATGGGAGCAATTCCATCGACTTATCATCAAATAATCAAGTTCCCAACACCGTGGGGAATACAAAGCATCAAGAGGGATCGACAGTCAGCCAAGTCTTGCTACCAAACGGCGATGAAGCCAACTGCGGACCAAACTGCTTCCAGGACCGCATAGCAATTAAAGGGTGGCCCCGCTCTGGTGGAAGATGACGACAAAACAGAAGAAGTTGCCATCGACTCAGAACATCCAGAAAGGGTCATCCGCATCGGGAAAGACATACCAAAGCACCTCAAAGACGAATTGATAAACTTCCTCAAAGAACATAAAGACGTGTTTGCATGGAGCCACGACGACATGACAGGTATTGATCCTAATATCATAACTCACAGGTTAAACGTCAGCTCATTACACAAACCCGTCAGACAAAAAAGAAGATGCTTTGCAAAAGAAAGGAACGCCATTATAAACCAGGAAGTTGACACGCTGCTCCGAACCGGCAAGGTAAAGGAGGTAAAGTATCCCGATTGGTTAGCTAATGTTGTTGTTGTTCAGAAAAAGAAAGGGAAGGAAGAAGGCAAGCCAGTCAAATGGAGAGTCTATGTGGACTTCACTGATCTGAACAAAGCATGTCCCAAAGATTCATTTCCAATGCCACACATTGACGCTTTGGTTGACGCTACGGCCGGGCATGAAATGTTATCCTTCATGGACGCATTCAGTGGATACCATCAAATACAGCTTCACCCTGATGACCAAGAAAGCACCGCCTTCATCACTGAAACAGGTACGTATTGTTATATTGTTATGCCTTTTGGACTAAAAAATGCAGGCGCGACGTTTCAGAGACTAGTCACCTTAATGTTCAAAGATCTAATGGGGGACACCATGGAAGTTTATATCGACGACATGATCGTCAAATCAAAGAAAAAAGAGGATCATATCTATCATCTGACGGAACCCTTCAGAAGACTGAAAAAGTACAATCTGAAGATCAATCCAGCGAAATGTACTTTCGGAGTAACATCAGGAGAATTTTTAGGATATATCGTCAGTGAACGAGGAATAGAGGCGAGCCCGGAACAAATACGAGCAATTATTGACATTGAACCTCCAAAATCCGTCAAAGATATCCAGAGGTTGACAGGATGAATTGCGGCTTTGAATCGTTTCATTTCAAAATCATCAGACAAGTGCCATTTATTTTATGACGTCTTGAGAAAAAACAAAAAATTCGAGTGGACAGATCGACACGAACAGGCGCTTCAACAATTAAAAGAATATATGATGTCGCCACCATTGCTCACAAAGCCTAAAAATGACGAAGAGCTACAACTCTATCTGGCCGTTTCAGAGCACGCCGTCAGCAGTACTGACAAAAGAGGAGCAGGGGCAGCAAACTCCAGTCTATTACGTAAGTAAATCCCTAAATGGACCGGAATCCAGGTATGCTTTACTTGAGAAATTAGTTTTAGCTTTGATCGTTGCTTCGATTAAATTACGTCCTTATTTTGAATCACATACCATTTGTGTTAGAACTAACTATCCCATGAAGTCAATCATGAGGAAACCGGAATTGACAGGTCACATGGCTAAATGGTCGATTCAACTTGGAGCTTACGACATAAGATTCGAACCGAGGACAACCTTGAAATCACAGTCACTTGCAGATTTTGTGGCAGACTTCAGTCCAAAGCTCCAAGAGGAAGCAGAAAAAGAGATTTGCACTCTGATCGATGGACTCCCAAAGCAAAAATGGACATTGCACACTGACGGAGCGTCAAACCAAAACGGCGCAGGTCTGGGCGTGATACTGAAGTCACCACAGGGGGACACCATGCTCCAAGCAGTACACTGTGATTTCACCGCTACGAACAACGAGGCTGAATACGAGGCGCTAATCGTCGGACTCACATTGGCAAAGGACTTGGGCGTCAAAATCTTGGAGGTAAAATGTGATTCTTTACTAATAATCAATCAAACTAACGGTGTGTATGCAGCAAAGGACCCCAAGATGACATCTTATTTGCAAATTGTCCGAGAATTGATAACGGCATTCGACGAAATAACCCTTGAACAAATCCCACGAGAAGAAAACACACAAGCTGACGCTCTGGCCGCCGTCGGATCATGTCTAGGGGCAGAAATCAATCGCAACATCCCCTATGTGCACTTGATGAGCCCGGCAATTTACAGATCAGAGGTTGCCTCTACCATTAAGACCCCGGCACAAGACGACTGGACACAACAATACGTAGCATACTTAAAGCACAATACTCTCCCAAAGGACAGAAAAGAGGCCAAAGCTTTTCTATCCAAGGCAAGTAAGTTCTTACTGATTGATGATGTGCTATTTAAAAGATCTGTCGCGGGTCCACTCCAAAGATGTCTGGCACCGCAAGAAGCCGCCAAAGCATTGAAAAATCTTCATGAGGGAGAATGCGGCAATCACGCAGCAGGACGAAGTTTGTCTAACAAAGCTCTTAGATTCGGTTATTACTGGCCAACCATGAGAGAAGATGCGACCACATTCGCCCAAAGATGCAAGCCCTGTCAGATGCATGGACCAATTCGTCATCAGCCCTCCGAGACGCTTCACCCAGTTCTATCACCGTGGCCCTTTATGAAGTGGGGCATGGACATTGTAGGAAAGTTGCCAGAGGCACCGGGGCAGAAAGTATCTATGCTAGCAATGACGGATTACTTTTCAAAATGGGTGGAGGCTGAGCCTTTTCGGCAGATACGAGATGACCAGGTGATTTCGTTTATTAAGAGAAATATCCTTTGCAGATTCGGCGTTCCTTCAGAAATCGTTTGTGACAACGGATCTCAGTTCATAAGCGCTAAAACCAGACGCTTTTGCGAGAAATACAATATCAAATTGGAAACGTCGACACCTAGGTACCCGCAGTCTAATGGGCAGGCCGAGTCTAGCAACAAAATTATCAATGCCAACTTAAAAAAGAGGCTTGAAAAGGCGCAAGGCCGATGGGCTGACGAATTGCCCTTGATACTCTGGGCAGACAGGACAACTCCGAAAAATGCAACCGGACAAACCCCATTCTCTCTGGTGCATGGCTGCGAAGCGGTCATTCCTGCTGAGATTGAAATACCTTCTTCGAGGTATGGACTCATGACGGGGGAATTGAACAATGTGGAGTTGGTGCACGACTTGGATACCATTGACGAGATCCGTGAACGAGCCAAAATCCGTTTGCAGACATATCAACAAATGGTGGCAAAAAGCTATAATAAAAACGTTCGGGCAAAGGTGTTCCAAAAGGGAGATTGGGTCTTGAGGAAAGCATTTGGCAATGAAGCAGCCGGAAAATTTAGTCCTAATTGGGAAGGACCTTACAGAATCACTGATGTCATCGGTCAGGGGGCATACGGCCTGGAGTCAATCGATGGTAAACAAGTCCCTCAAAGTTGGAACGCGGTACATTTAAAGCGTTTCCATTTAAAAAAAAAAAGAAGTTTCTTTCCTTTTCTATCCCTATTACTAAATAACTAACTTGGTCGTCGGAGGGCCGTTGGCTTAAGGCCAACGACCAATCCTAACGATAATTATAAATACAGGAAGGCACTCAAAAATGGCCAAGTCACAGGTAATTAGTTACAGTTCGTGTAATCTTGAATATAGTAAATACAATTCATCATTCACTAACTTGACCGTCGGAGGGCCGTTGGCCCCAAACCAACGGCCGATCCCAACGGAACGGTATCATTGCAGGACTATGACAAGTTAAGATCAAAATGCCAGAACAACAGAGAGAACATCAGATCTACTCATGACAAAAAACATCAACATACAGGGGACATGAGGCTCATTATGGAGAAACCATGAATGAAGTTCCATGAAACCGAATAAAGTTTTGGCCAAAAACACAAAACACAAAACACATATATGTTCCCCCACGCACACGGGGCAGGTTACATACGAAAACGACGTATATAACAACACACACGTCAATCAGGTGACCAAAAGGAGTAGCAACGGAATCACCAAACAACATGGATTTGGCTTGGATAAACCACCAAGCACAATATTCATAAATCCACAGGAAAATATTAAAACCATGATGCAGGGGCAGTAATAGCAGAGTGAGTCTTGGAAGCAGAAGCAAATGTTTAGAGATGAGAAAGTAAAGGGGAAGGGGTGCAGTTAGTTATCTCGGGAGCGTCTGGAATCGGCTTCGTTATCGGACTGACCAACGTCAAAACCGTCTTCTCCAATCGGGGGGTCCATCTCATCTTGAAGCTTTGACCAGGTAGCAACGTCCTGTTCCACAGTCCAGTTTGACATCTCGCCTGCGAGGAATGAAGTCATCAGTTCACCTCTGGTTTTCCAAGCATAAAAACAGGCCGCGTCAGTAACCTCTTGTTTCTTTTTCCTCCCATACGCTTCCAACGACTTAATACGGGTTTTTAAAGTTGAGATTTGAGTGGTTAAAATCAAACTATCGCTACGAAGACTTTGGATCGTTCGAGCATCAACATCAGCACGAGCGTGAAAGCTTTTCTCTTTTCTTTTTAATTCGTCCACAGCCTTTTCTAGCAGAACCAACCTTTCTGCAGCAACAAGGCTAGCTTGAACACTCTGCCAGGTCAAAACAAATTTCTCTCAAGAAGGATTAAATTTCTACAGGTACCAAGCACTTATAAAACGACGAGATACCTGGAAAGCAAAAGCCGAGGAAGCCAATACCAGGCCAGCTGAGGATACATCCTTGAATACAACGGACGAGGAGGAAAGCGGGACTTGAGGCATTTCACTTCCCATCACAAGAGCACCCTTCAAACAGCAAAAGTCACGAGAGAAAGAAGCGTTCATCTTCCCACCAGAGTCAGGATTGGTGGTGGCATTCACTGGACGAGGAGGAGCAGATTTCATCTCTGTGTTGGGGCATTGTGAAGTTTTGGAACAACCAGAGGCCAACTTGGATGGGATTTTCTTCTTTCTCGAAACCATGTTAAGAAGATCGTAATCAGAAGGTATCGGCCGTGTGTTAGACGAAGAAACAGCTGCGGCAAAGGAAAATATATAAACATTCTAAATAAAACAACATTTGACGAATAATTGAGATAGCTGAAACCAGTACCAGCGTGTTGTGCAGAACGTTTTGCTGGAAGAGAACAGGAATCCTGACCACCGGGAAACACCATCTGAAGAGGAACGAAAGCACTTGCATTTTCACCTCCACCCCTCGAGGTCTCTGATTCATGGTCTGAATCATCTACAGAGACCGCGCGTGAATCTTGGGCATCGTCAAGGACGTTCTGAATATTACGGCGAGAGCGCCTTAACCCAACGGACCGAGAATGGTCAGGAGTGGGAGACATACCTTCATTATCAACCACTAGATTCCCAAAGGTCCGTTCGGCAGAAGTTAAAGATAAAATTTTGACAGTCCTTCCTTCAGAGTCTGGACCATAGCTCAAGGGGATAGTCTTCCTATCTATAAAAAAAAACAGTGAAAACGGTAATTTTGACGTATTGCAGACCAGCCATATAGCAATTAAATACATTTGAAATCCATATGTAAAACAAGGAGTTGTCAAGATACCTTTGTGTAAACTCTCTTCAAGAAATGCGCCCTCAGAACTTAGGGAATCTTTTTGCACAAAGAAGAACTGGCTCATCCAGCCACGATCATTAGCTTTGTCCGCCCTCAATATCAGCGCCTCGCGAGCATCTTTGACGGCCAGGGTAAACCGACCAGCTCCAGAAGAACAAAGATCATAGGTAAAACCCAGATCTTCGAAGGAGAAGGGGATGCTGTGTTTTTCGCTTAATACTTCTAAACCTCGCAGAACCCTCCATACTTGTGGCATTACTTGGGAAGGAGAAACCTTGACAAAGGCTAAGAAATCTCTAACTAAGGAAGAGAAAGGGAATTTCATACCAATCTTGAAGGGATACATGAAGAAGTTGACCCAACCATCACAATGCCAATCAACCCGTTCGTTAGCGGCCGGAAACCGGATGGAAGCATGCGCTGGAAATCCGGAACCATTCTTGATGGCCTCGATATGATTCTCCGAGAGTTTAGCCTGTTTTGCATTCTTCGGATCAAGGATGTGTTGAGGGATGAACTGTTGAGATGCCATAGGTTCTCACGATGGATCTCTGCAAGAATCAAGCGAAAGATATTTCGCAAGAGAAGAGTTATGGCTGAAAAGAGACTAATCTGACAGAGGGTTGGTTACTCGAGGAAGGAGGCTGACAGTTTTGTCCATTTCGAGGTAGCGTCGAAACGATTAAAATTCAAAGAAGTAATCGACCGGATTGATTAAATCGGTAACGACTACTACTTCAAATTTTAGGGGCAATTGTTGGGCCCGGATCTATCAAGCGAATCGGCCCATTATATTAAATTTGAGTTTATTGGACGGATCGGCCCACGTGACCTTAAGGAGTCCACAGAAGCCGGCTTGGTCAAATGACATGACGAAGTGGATAAGAGCGCCCAAGAAGTTGAGGAGAAAATGGAGGAAAAGATCCCGATTTTGTAGGGGAAGGCTACCATTTCGCCGGGTAGTTCGTCCGCATGGGGGAAGGAGTTAGAAATTCTACTTTAAATAGACTGTAGAAGAGAGAAAGAACTACTTAATTATCTATACACTTGTAATACCATTTTTCGAATCATACATCCAGATTAATATACTCTCATTCATTAGCTTTCGGTTCTTATATTGTGTTTCTTGTACGATCCCTACATACATATAATTTTAGATTGGTTTAATTCTTGCTTAAACATAATATATATTTTATCTCTTTCGTATGTTTTTAGAGGTTCTTAAGACATTGAGTTTGTTTGTTTTGATTCTTGGAGTTACATTTGATAATATATTGAGTTACATCTTTTTATGTGTGAGTTACATCTTTTTTAAGTGCGGGTTACATCTTCTTATACGCGAGTGACATCTTTTTATGCGCGAGTTACATCTTTTTATGCGCTAGTTTCATCTTATGAGCGAGTTACATTTTCTTATGTGTGATTACATCGTCTCGTGCGCGAGTTACGTCTCTTTTATGCGTGAGTTACAACTTCTTATGTGGGAGTTACATTTGGACTTGCCTTAACAAGTTACATTTTGCATACACAAGGTTCATTTTCCATCAACGCGGGTGACATTTGCCATAACACGATTTACATCACAAAATAAACATCTACTATTAAAACTAAAAAAATGTTTTATTTTCTCTAAAATCATTGTAATGGCTCTCATATTAAAAACAAAACACAATCACTATTTACGTAAAGTAATTGAGCAACTAGACTCTTTTTCATTGTGTATATTGAAATCAATATTTTATTTCTTATACTATGTATTAAACAAGTTACATGTCGATTAGCCTACAGTTACATTTCTTATTAACGTGAGTTACAAATCTTATATACACGCGGGTTACATCACCCTGTTATTGAAGTACAAAATTATTATTCATGTGTGTTACTGTTCACATGTGTTTTAAATGTGAGAACATCATGCTCACTATAGACTGCGTCATCTCACGATATAACAACAAGAAAATACATTGAGAACAATGTATAGATCAAAACTTTTCTATTCCGGCTATTGAGATTGCATTTAAGACTTCAAACCCAAAACCCGCACGGGTAGCTCAGTTGGTTCAGTGGTGGGAAATTTGGACCAAGTGACCAAGGTTCGAAACCCGCAGTGGCCGTGTGGAGGTCACAGAAGCTGAAATAAGGCTGGGCCTCTGGTGCGCACGGGAAAAAGGCCTACCATCATTGGGCCGACTGAGTCACCGTGATTAACATCCTCCCAAAAATCCTGTCGGGTCGGAGTATGGGGACTCCTGAGGTGGGAGATTCCACCTTTTGGACCAAGACTTCAAACCCAAAACTTGTCACAGTATTTGTTAGATTCTGACATAAATGTAACAACGCCACTAGAAGAAAAAGTTATCAATATTGTAAAGTTATATAGGATATATCATACACGTATGGCGTTTTCTGTATGGCGTACACCTTACGGCCACTTGCATTTTTGTAATTTTAGATTGAAATCGTGGTTGAGTTAATTGAGCAACAATACACTTTTATTGAGTGTCAGACCTATTCGGTTGAGTATATGGGAAAAAATTCTACTTTTGGTCTCGTGACTATTATATCACTTCCACATTTAGTCCCTTACTTTCAGATTGTCCACATTTAGTCCGTGACCATTATCCCCTCACCACCCCTCATCTTTCCGGCCAAAATTCCGGCAAATTTAATGCAGATTTTAAGTATGAAAAATCAAATTTAATGCAAAGACTGATATGAAAAACCCAACCTTATATAAAATTTAATGCAAGGACTGATTCTGAAGCTGATAAGTGGACTAAATTTGCCGGAATTTTGGCTAGAAGGACAAGGGGTGGTGAGGGGATAATGGTCACGGACTAAATGTGGACAATCTGAAAGTAATGGACTAAATGTGGAAGTGGTATAATAGTCATGGGACCAAGAGTGGATTTTTTTCAGTATATGGAGTCTAATATTGAGTATCATGATCTCTGCTTCACGATACTCAATATTATACACTTTTTCTTATTTTTTCTTTTATAAAATTATGAAATTAAATCTACAACCAACTCTTATGAATTCCAATATGTGAATCTAACTTAATACTTTGTAATATTATACTTCTGAAGTATGCATTGATATATGAAAATCGCAAGTTCTACTAGTCGAGCATCAAGACATTTTCAATGAGCATCAAGTCTCTACTATTGAACATTGCAAATTTGCAGTTGAGTATAAAAATTTCAAAACTCATTGAGCATCAAAACATCTTTATTGAGTATCGTGTTCCTACCTACTATTGAGCATTGAGACTATGTGATCAAACATCTTCATTGAGCATTGAAACTTTGCATTGAGCATCAAAATATCTTTATTGAGTATCATGTTATCTACTAATGAGCACTAAGACTATGTGAGCAATCTCAAACCTGGTCGTCGCGAGCTCCAGTCTGGACTGCAGTCGTCGTGAGTTTCGTTAGTCAGGTGGAGTCAGCGAGCCCTGAGCAAGAGCATCTGGTGCGAGATGAGCGTTTGGCCTTTTGGGTGCGAACAACAAGCCGCATGGGTGTGAGTAGCGAGCTATCAGACTGCATCAAAGGAGGAAGTCTCCTCTTGAAAATGATGATGGTGAAGGTCGGAGATGAAGGGAAAGAGGAAGAAAAGTTTCCGTTCAACCTCAAAGTTCAGAATAATTTTAAAAATATATGGTTATACCATCCCCAAGGTACAACAAATTATAATTATAATATTTCATAATTCAACAAATTCAGGTGTTTCAGTCATGGTTCATTAATTTTTTGAATATTAAGTCAATCTTAGTTTATCAAAAGGACTCTCAGCAAGGTGATTGGATTGAACTCATTGAAGTATCCCATTCGAATTTCAATGATGACGGCGTGAGAGTTTGATCCAATGTGACAACTCTATGCTAACCACTACTAAATCAACTCTATAGGAAGTGTTTGAGCTTTCCTCTCCACCACTCTGGCAAAATTACCAAATTGATTAATAAAGGAGGTTGGTTTATCAAATTGGTAAAAGTGACCTTCGGAGACAGGTTGGTAAAAAAAAGTTTCTAAGACAAATTGGTCAAATTTTTGTGAGTAAGACATTTTTAGTTCGCGATTTTAGAACTCGCAGTCATTAAATCCCCTTAAGTTTTGTGAAATTGACATTTTCAGTTCTTCTACTATGATTTTGTAATAAAAAATGGATGACTAAAAATGTCAACGAGGGTGTTAATTGTTTTAATCAACCGCTTTCATTAGTGATTTGAAATAAGTGTTTAATAACTTCAATATTTGCGATTGATTAGTTGTTAAGACGTAAAATGATTATTAAGAATATGAATTGTAAACTATCTATATTTAACTTAAATTTATTTTTTTATTTTTTATTATATTTACTTTTATCATATATAACTATTACCGCTATCATTTTTAACACATGTACATTTACACGAGCACACACATAAACATTAATTTATTTTTAGTATTAATATTTTGAATATGACTATTTTGTTAGTTTTTAAAAAAATGCTACTCCATATAGAGTAGCAAACATATTCATATTGATAAAAAAAAGAAAAATATTCATAGTGATTTTATGGAGTAGAATTTTTTAAATACTACTCTCTCCATCCCAAC